AAGGGGGGGATTTTTTTCCCAAAAATTTTTTTTTTTTTTTTAAAAAAAATTTTTTTTAAAAAATTTTTAAAAAGGTTAAAAATTTTTTTAAATTTTTTAAAAAAATTGGGGAAAAAAAATTTTTTAAAAAAAAAAAGGGGAAAAAAAGGGGGGGGGGAAAGGTTTTGGGGGGGGGGTCGGGGGCCCCCCCCCCCGGGGGGGGGGGGGTTTTTTTTTAAAAAAAATTTTTTTTTTTCCGGGGGGCCCCCATTTTTTTTTAATTTAACCTTTTGGGTTTTTTTAAAAAAAACCCCAATTTTAAATTTTTTTAAAAAAAACCAAAAAAAAAACCTTTAAAAAAAAGGGCCCAAAATTTTAAAAATTTTTCCCCCCCGGGGGGGGGGGTTTTTTTTTTTTTAAAAAGGGGGGGTTTTTTTTTGGGGAAAACCCTTTTTTTCCCGGGGTTTTTTTCCAAACCCTTTTTTTTTTCCCTTTTTTTTCCTTTTGGGGGTTTTCCCCTTAATTTTTTTAAAAAAACCAAAAAAAAAAAAAAATTTTTAAAAAAAAAGGGGGGCCCAAAACCCCCAAAAAAAAAAAAGGGGAAACCGGGGGTTTTTAACCCCCTTTTTTTTTTAAAATAAAGGGGGGTTTTTTTTTGGGGGTTTTTTTTTTTAAATTTTTTTAAAATTTTTTTTTTTTTTTAAAAAAAAAAATTTTTTTTTAATTTCCCAAAAAAAGGGAAATTTTAAAAAAAAAAAATTTTTTTTTAAAAAAGGGGAAAAAAAAAACAAAATTTTTTAAAAAAGGGGGGGTTTCCCCATGGGGGGGTAAAAAAAATTTTTTTTTTTCCTTTTTTTTTTTTTTTAAAAGGGGGGGTTTTTTTTTTTTTTTTCCTTTTTGGCCTTAATTTTTCCAAAAAAATTTTTTGGGAAAAAAAAAAAAATTTTTAAAATTAACCCGGGGAAAAACCAAAAAAAATGGCTTTAAAAGGGGGTTTCCCCAAATTTTTTTAAAAACCCGGGAAAAATTTTTCCCCCTTTTTTTTTTAAAAACCCCCTTTTATTTTTTTGGAAAATTTTTTTTTTTTTTTGGGGGTCTCTTTAAACCCAAAAAAAACCCAAAAATTCCAAAAAAAAAAAAATTTTTTAAAATTTTAAAAAACCCCCAAAAAAAAAGGGGAAAAAAAATTTTTAAAAAAAAAATTTTTTCCCCTTGGCTTTTAAAAAAATTTTAAAAAAAGGGGGGGGGGCCCCCTTTTTTTTAAAAAAATTTTTTTTTTAAGGGGGTTTTTTTTTTTTTTTTTTTTTTTTTAAAAAATTTTAAACCAAAAAATTTTTTAAAAAAAAAAAAATTTTAAATTTAAAAAACCCCCCAAAAACCCCCAAAAAAAAATTTTTAAAAAAAACCCCCCTTTTTCCGGGGAAAAATTTTTAAAAAGGGGGGTTTTTTTTAAAAAAAGGGTTTAAAAAAATTTTTTTTTTTTTTTTAAAAACCCGGGAATTTTTTTTTAAAATTTTTTTAAAAATTGGTTTTTTTTTTAAAAAAAAAAAAAAAGGGGAAAGAAAGGGAAAAAAAAAATTTAAAAAAAAAAAGGGGAAAAAGCCAAAAAAAGGGGGTTTTTGAAAAAAGGGGGGGCCCCCCATGGAAAAAACCCCCTTTAAAAAGGGGGGTTTTTAAAAAAAGGGGGGGGAAAATTTTTTTTGGGGGTTTTTGGTTTTTTTTAAAAATTTTTTAAATTTTTTAAAATTTTTGGGGGAAAAAAAAATTTTTTTTTTTTTTAAAAAATTTTGGGAAAAAAAAAAAAAATTTCCCCAAAAAATTTTTAAAAAAAATTTTTAAAAATTTTTAAAAATTTTTGGGGTTTTAAAAAAAACCGGGATTTTTTAAAAAGGGGGGGCCCAATTTTTTTTAAAACGGCCCCTTTTTTTAATTTTTTTTTTTTTTTTGGGTTTTTTTTAAAAATTTTTTAAAAAAAATTTTTGGGAAAAAAAAAGGAAAAAAGGGGAAAAATTTTTTCCCCCAAAAAAAGGGGGGGAAAACCAAAAGGGGGTTTTTTTGGGGTTTTTTGGGAAGGGGGGAATTTTTGGGGGGTTCATTTTTTTTTTTTCGGCCCCTTTTTTTTTTAAAAAAAAAAGGGGTGTTTTTTTTAAAGGGGTTTTTTCCCTTTATTTTCCCTTAATTTTTTTAAAAAAAAAAAAAAAATTTTTTTAAAAAAAAAAAAAATTTCCGGGGGGAGGGAAAAAAAAAAGGGGGATTGGGGTTTTCCCCCCCCTTTTTGGGGTTTTCAAAAAAAGGGGTTTTTTTTTTTTTCCCCCCCCAAAAAAACCCCAATTTTTTAATGGAAAATTTTTTTAAAAATTTTTTTTTAAATTTTTTTCCCCCCAAAAAAAAATTCCAAAAAAAATTTTTTTTTTAAAGGAAAAAGGCCTTTTTTCAAAAAAGGGGGGGGGGTTTTTTTGGGGTTTTTTTTAAAAGGGGGAAAAAATTTTTAAAAAAATTTTTTTTTTTTTTCCCCGGGTTTCCCTTTTAAAAGGGGTTTTTTTTTTAAAAAAATTTTTTTTTTTTTAAAATTTTTGGGGGGGAAAAAAATTTTTTTTAAAAAAATTAATTTTGGGGGTTTTTAAAAAAAAAAAAGGGTTTAAAAAAATTTTGGTTTTAAAAAAAAGGGAATTTTTTGGGGGGGGCCCTTTTTTTTTTCCCAATTTTTTTTCCCCCCAAAAAAATTATTTTGGGGGGGGGTTTTTTTTGGAAAGGCCCCTTTTTTATAATTTTTTTTTAAAAAAAAGGGGAAAAAAGGGGTTTTTTTTTTAAAAAGGGGGAAAAAAATTTTTTTTTTTTTTAAATAATTTTTTTCCCCCGGGCAAAAAGGGAAAAAAGGGTTTTTTTTTTTTTTTTTTTTTCCCCCTTAATTTCCCCCAAAAAAATTTTTTTTGGGGGGTTTTTTTTTAAAAAAACCCCCTTTTTTTTTTTTGGGGGCCAAAAAAAATTTTAAAATTTTTTTAAATTTATTTTGGGGGGTTTTTTTTTTTTTTCCGGGGTTTTTTAAAAAAAAAGTTTTTTTTGGGGGGGGTTTTTTTTTTTTTTGGGGGGCCTTTTTTAAAAAAAAAGGGGGGTTTTTTCCCCCCCCAAAAAAAAAATTTTTTTTTGGGGGGGGTTTTTTTAAAAAAAACCCAAAAAATTTTTTTTAAAAAAAAAATTTTTAAAAAAAAACCCCTTAAAACCCCCCAAAATTTTTTTAAAAAAATTTTTTTTTTTTTTCCCCCCCCTTTTTTAAAAAAAAAAGGGATTGAGTTTTTAAAAAGGGCCCCCTTTTTTTTTAAATTTTTTCCCCGGGGGGTTTTTTTTTTTTTAAAAATTTTTTTTTTTGTTTTTTTAAAAAAAAAAAAAAATTTTTTTTTTAAAAAAAAAAGGGGGGGAATTTAAAAAAAAAAAAGGTTTTGGGGGTTTTTCCCCTTTTTTTTTTTACCGGGTTTTTTAAAAAAACAAAAAAAGGGGGGTTTTTTTTTTTAAAAAGGGGGGGGGGGGGGGGTTTTTTTTTTTTTTTTTGGGGGTTTTTTGGGGAAAAAAAAATTTTTTTTTTTTTCCCTTTTTTTTTTTTTAAAAAAAAAAAATTTTTTTTTTAAAAAATTTTGGGGGTTTTTTAAAAAGGGGGCCCCTTTTTTTCCCAAAAAAAAAAAGGGGGAAAAAAAAAAAAAGGGGGGGGTTTTTTTAAAAAAAAGGCCCCCTTTTTTTTTTTGGGGGCGGAACCCCGGGGGCCCCTTTTTTTTTTAAAAAATTTTTAAAAAATTTTTTTTAAAAAATTTTTAAAAATTTTTTTAAAAAAAAATTTTTTGGGGGAAAACCCCCCCAAAAATTTTTTGGGGGGGTTTTTTTTTAAATTTTTAAATTTCCCCGGGGGGAAAAAAAAAAAGGGGGTTTTTTAAAAAAAATTTTTTTAAATGGGGCCCTTTTTAAACCTTTTTTTTTTTTTTTAAAAAGGGTTTTTTTTTTTTAAAAAAACGGGGAAAATTTTTTTAAAAAAAAATTTTTAAAAGGGGAAAACCCCCCAAAAAAAAAGGGGTTTTTTTTTTCCCCCCCGGGGGGAAAAAAAAAAGGGGTTTTAAAAAAGGGGGGAAAATTTTTTTTTTCCCAAACCCCCCAAACCCCCCTTTTTTTCCCCAAATTTTTTTAAAAAAAACGTTTTAAAAAAATTTTTTTTAAACAAAAGGGGGAAAAAAAAAAAAAAGGGGGGTTTTTTTTGGGGAATTTTTAAAAAATTTTTTAAAAAAAAAAACCCCCCCAAAAATTAAAAAAAAATTTTTTTTTGAAAAGGGGAAAAACCCTTTTTTTGGCCGGGGGCCCCCGGTTTTAAACCGGGGGGGTTTTTTTTTTTTAAAGGGGTTTTTTAAAAAAAAAAAAAGTTTTTTTTTAAAAAATTGGGGGTTTTTTTAAAAAAAATTTCTTTAAATTAAAATTTTTCCCCCCCCAAAAAAAGGGGGGGGGGGGGTTTTTTAATTTAAATTAAAGGGGAAAAAAAGGAAAAAAAAATTAAATTTTTAAAAAAAAAAATTTTTTTTTTTTTGGGGGGGTTTTTTTAAACCAAGGGGGTTTTTTTTAAAGGGGTTTTTAAAAGGGGGGGTTTTTTTTTTTTAAAAACCCCCTTTTTTTTTTTTTAAAAAAAAAATTTTAAAAAGGAAAAACCCCCGGGGTTTAATTTTGGGGGAAAACCCTTTTTTAAAAAAAGGGGGGGGGGAAAAAAAAAAAAGGGGGTTTTTTAAAAAAAAATTCCCCCCAAAAAAAACTTGGAAACCCCTTTTTTCCCCCCCCAAAAAAAAAAATTTTTTTTTTTTTCCAAAAATTTTTTAAATTTTTTTAAAAAAAATTCGGGGTTTTTTTTTTAAAAAATAATTTTTAAAAAAGGGTTTTTTTAAAAATTTTTAAAAAAAAAAAAAAAATTTTTTGGGGAAAAAAAAACCCTGGGCCCTTTTTTTCCGGGGTTTTTTTTCCCAATGTGCATTGAGTAAATATGAGCGCAATCCGTCACCATCATAGCTCAGTGGCAGAGCACTGGTCTTAAACCAGGTGCCGTGAGTTCGATCCTCACTGGTGGCTTGTACAAATACGTGATCAAGTATGGAGTTGTTTTAATCGAAAGACGCGTGCGGTATATTTTTCTTTTTATAGTGCTTGCGATCGCTCTCGATTATAACTGCGTTACTGTAACTCCTAATAGAATGCTCATTTTTGCAAGAGAAATGTGTCTCTACATATATTTCAAACTAATCTACGAGAAATGCGAAAGAAACAAAATGTGTATTGGCAATATGAACGCAATCCGTCGCCATTATAGCTCGTAAGTGTTAGAGCACTGGTCTTGTAAAACCAGCGGTCGTGAGTTCGATCCTCACTGGTGGTTTTTGGCCAAATACGTGATCAAGCATGAGTTGTTTTTAATCGAAAGACGCGTGCGGTATATTTTTAGCGTAAGTGTTTAAGGATCGCTCCCGATTATAATCCGCGCTAATTTAATCCCATTGAATGTCATTTTTGGAAGAGAAGTTCGTATCTCTACATATATTTCAAACTAATCTCCATGAGAGAAATGTCGCGAAAGAAACAAAAATGTGCATTAAGCGTATTATGAACGTAATCCGCCATTATAGCTTTCAGTGTTAGAGCACTGGTCTTGTAAAACCAGGGGTCGTGAGTTCGATCCACTGGTGGCTTTTACAAATACGTGATCAAGCATGGTTGTTTTTAATCGAAAGAGGCGTGCTGTAAGCATTTTTCTTTATAGTGCTTGCGATCGCCGTCGATTATAATCCGCGTTAATTTAATCCTATTGTGAATGCGTCATTTTTGGAAGAGAAATGTGTCTCATTATATATATTTCAAACTAATCTAATGAGAGAAATGTAGCGAAAGAAATTAAATGTGCATTGAGTAATATAGAAACGTAATCACTATCATAGCTCATTGGCGTAGAGCACTTGCCTTAGAAACCAGGGGTCGTGAGTTCGATACTCTCTGGTGGTTTTTATTAAAGCGCCGCGGAAAAAGCATGGAGTTGCTTTAAATCTCCGTTACCGCAAGCGTATATTTTTCTTTATAGTGCTTGGCATCGCTCTCGATTATAATCCGTGTTAATTTAATCCTTAAGAGAATGTCATTTTTTAAAGAGAAATGTGTCTCATTATATTTCAGTAATCTACGAGAGAAATGTAGCGAAAGAAAACAAAATGTGCATTGAAAGTAGTAAGCGAACATAATCCGTCGCCATCATAGCTCAGTGTAGCAGCATACTGGTCTTGTAAAACCAGGGGTCGTGAGTTCGATCCTCACTGGTGGCTTTACAAAACTTGAAAAAGCATGGAGTTGTTTTTAATCGAAAGACGCGTGCTGTATATTTTTCTTTTTATAGTGCTTGCGATCGCTCGATTATAATCCGCGTTATTTAATCCTTAATAGAATGTCATTTTTGGAAGAGAAATGTGTCTCTATATATATTTCAAACTAATCTACGAGAGAAATTTCGCGAAAGAAACAAAAATTTGCATTGAGTAATATGAACGCAATCCGTTGCCATCATAGCTCAGTGGCAGAGCACTGGTCTTGTAATCCAAGGGTCGTGAGTTCGATCCTCACTTTTGGCTTTACAAAACTTGAAAAAGCATGGAGTTGTTTTTAATCGAAAGACGCGTGCTGTATATTTTTTATAGTGCTTTACCTGCTCTCAATTAATCCGCGTTAATTAATTTCTTAATAGAATGTCATTTTGGAAGAGAAATGTTCTATTATATACTTCAAACCACCTACGAGAGAAGTTAAAGCGAAAGAAACAAAATGTGCATTGAGTAATATGAGCATATGTAACTGTCGCCATCATAGCTCAGTGCGGCAGAGCACTGGTCTAGTTGTCAGGCCGTGAGTTCGACCACTGGTATCTTACAAAAACTTGAAAAAGCATGGAGTTGTTTTAATCGAAAAGACGCGTGCTGTATATTTTTCCTTTATAGCTATGATCGCTCCGATTATAATCCGCGTTAATTTAATCCTGATAGAATGTCATTTTGGAAGAAAATGTGTCTCATTATATATACTTCCCAAACTAATCTACGAGAGAAATGTCGCGAAAGAAACAAAATGTGCATTGAGTAATATGAACGTAATCCTTCGCCACTCATAGCTCAGTGGCAGCACTGGCCCTGTAAACCAGGGTCGAGCCTCAGATCCTCACTGGTGGCTTACAAATAAAGACCGCGAAGGAAGCGTTTAATCAAAGACGCGTATATATTTTTCTTTTATAGGCGCTTATGATCGCTCTCAGATTTATAATCCAGTGCTAATTTAATCATTAAGAATGTCATTTTTAAAGAGAAATGCCCCATTATATATTTCAAACTAACCCCACAGAGAAACAAGTCGCGAAAACAAAAATGCATTGAGTAATATAAACGTAATCCGTCGCCATCAGCTCAGTGGCAGAGCACTGGTCTTGTAAACCAGGGGTCGTGAGTCTGATCGTCACAAGCGCTTTACAAATACGTGATCGCGCGAGAGTTTGTTTTTAATCGAAAGACGCGTGCTGTTATTTTTCTTTATAGTGCATGCGATCGCTCTCGATTAATCCGCGTTAATACTTCTAATAGAATGTCATTTTTGAAGAAATGTGTCTCTATTATATTTCAAACTAATCTGCCGAGAGAAATAAAGCGAAAGAAACAAAAAATGTGCATTGAGTATGAGCGTAACTGTCACCATCATAGCTCAGCAGAGCACTGTCTTGTAAACCAGGTGTCGTGAGTCGATTCTCACTGCGGTTTTGGCTAAATACGTGATCAAGTATGTACAAAGTTTTTAATCGGAAAGACGCGTGCGGTATATTTTTTCTTTTATAGTGCTTGTGATCGCTCTCGATTATAATCCGCGTTAATTTAATCCTTAATAGAATGCCTTCTTGAAGAGAGAATGTGTCTCATTATATATTTCCCAAAGTAATCTACGAGAGAAATGTAGCGAAAGAAACAAAAATGTGCATTATAATCCGTCGCCATCATAGCTCAGTGCGGCAGAGCACTGGTCTTGTAAAACCAGGGTCGTGAGTTCGATCCTCACTGGTATTTTGCATGTTCTGAAAAGCATGGAGTTGTTTTAATCGAAAGACGCGTGCTGTGGCATTTTTCTTTTTATAGTGCGTTTATGATCGCTCCCTCGATTATAATCCGCGTTAATTTAATCCTTAATAGAATGTGTCATTTTTGGAAGAGAAATGTGTCTCCGCTTATATATATTTCCAAACTAATCTGCCAGATTTCGCGAAAGAAACAAAAAATTTGCATTGAGTAATATGACCCAACTGGCCATCATAGCTCAGTGGTAGAGCACTGGTCTTGTAAATCCAAGGCCTTGAGTCTGATCCTCACTTTGGCTTATAAAATGCAGCATGGAGTTGTTTTTAATCGAAAGACGCGTGCTGTATATTTCGCGTGCTTATACCGCTCTCAATTAATCCGCGTTACTAATTTTTAATAGAATAAGCCGCTTTTTGGAAGAGAAATGTGTCTCATTATATACTTCAAAACTAATCTACGTGAGAAATAAAGGAAAGAAAACAAAATGTGTGGCACAGTATCATAGCTCAGTGGCAGAGCACGTCTTGTAAACAGGGTCGTGAGTTCGATCCTTCCGGTATCTTACGCAAAAACTTGAAAAGCATGGAGCGTTTTTTAATCAGCATGCGTGTTGCATATTTTTTATAGTGTTTAGTTCTCGATTATAATCCGCGTTAATTAATCCCATTAAATGTCATTTTGAAGAAAATGTGGTTCATTATATATTTCAAACTAATCTACGAGAGAAATGTCGCGAAAGAAAACAAAAATGCATTGAGTAATATGAACGTAATCCTTCATCATAGCTCAGTAAAAGCACTGGCGTCTCAAAATCAGGGTCGCGAGTTCGATCTCACTGGTGGTTTTACAAATACGTGATCAGCGCAGGAGTTGTTTTTAATCGAAAGACGCGCTGTATATTTTTCTTTTTATAGTGCTTGCGATCGCTCTCGATTATAACTGCAAGCATCTTAATCCTTATTAGAATGCCAGTTTTTGAAGAGAAATGTGTCTCATTATATATTTCTAAACTAATCTACGAGAGTGTCGTCGCGAAAACAAAATGTGCACTGAGTAATATAAACGTAATTCGTCGCCATCATAGCTCAGTGGTAGAGCACTGGTCTTGTAAACCAAAGTCGTGGAGTTCGATCCTTCTACTCAGTAGTTTTACAAATACGTGATCAAGCATGAGCTGTTTTAACCAAAAGACGCGTGCTGTATATTTTTCTTTTATAGTGCATGCGATCGCTCTCGATTAATCCGCGTTATCTAATTTCTAATAGAATGTCAGGCTTTGGAAGAGAAATGTGTCTCACATATATTTCAAAACTATCTAATGAGAGAAAATGTCGAAAGAAAACAAAAATGTGCATTAAGTAATATGAACGCAACCGTCGCCATTATAGCTCATAGTGTTAGAGAGCACTGGTTCTGTAAAGTCCAGGGTCGTGAGTTCGATCCTCAATACCTGGTGTTTTACAAATACGTGATCAAGCATGGAGTTGTTTTTAATCGAAAGACGCGTGCTGTATATTTTTCCTTTATAGTGCTTCTGCGATCGCCGTCGATTATAATCCGCGTTAAATTTAATCCCATTAGAATGTCAGTTTCTTGGAAGAGAAATGTGTCTCATTATATGGTTTCAAACTAATTCTACGAGAGAAATGTAGCGAAAGAAACAAAAATGTACGGAGTAATATGAACGTAACTGTCAGCATCATAGCTCAGTGGCAGGTTACCTGGCCTTGTAAACCAGGGGTCGAGTTCGATTTCTGGTGCCTTTACAAAACTTGAAACAGCATGGAGTTGTGACCGAAGACGCGTGCTGTATATATTTTTCTTTTAATAGTGCATGCGACGCCTACCGATTAATCCGCGTTAATTTAATCCTTAATAGAATGTCATTTTTGAAGAGAAACGTCCGGCCGTCATATATTTCCAAACTAATCTACGAGAGAAATGTATGAAAGAAACAAAAATGTACGAAAGTAATATGAACGTAATCTGGCGCCATCATAGTCACAGTGGCAGAGCACTGGTCATGTAAAACCAGGTGTCGAAAGTCTGAACTCACTGGTGGCTTTACAAAACTTGGAAAGCTACGGTTGTTTAATCGAAAGACGCGTGTCATTTATTTTTTCTTTTTATAGTGCTTGCGATCGCTCTCGATTATAATCCGCGTTAATTTAATCCTTAATAGAATGTCATTTTTGGAAGAGAAATGTGTCTCATTATATATTTCAAACTAATCTACGAGAGAAATGTAGCGAAAGAAACAAAAATGTGCATTGAGTATTTATGAAACGTAATCCGTCACCACATCATAGCTCAGTGCTAGCACTGGTCTTGTAAACCAGGCGTTAGGAGTTCGATAATTACCTTCGGTAGGTTTTAAAAATTTGGAAAAGTATGCTGTTTTAACCTGAAGACGCGCCGTTTATTTTTCATTTTATAGTGCTTGCGATCTCGATTATATAACTGCGTTAATTTAATCCTTAATAGAATGTCATTTTTGGAAGAAAAATGTGTCTCATTATATATTTCAAACTAATCTACGAGAGAAATGTCGCGAAAGAAACAAAAATGTGCATTGAGTAATATGAACGTAATCCGTCGCCATCATAGCTCAGTGGCAGAGCAACACTGTCTTGTAAACCAGGGTCATGCAGTCTGGATCCTCACTGGTGGCTTTACAAAATACGTGATCAAGTATGGAGTTGTTTTCTAACTCTGGAAAAGACGCGTGCTGTATATTTTTCTTCTTATAGTAAGCCGCGATCGCTCTCGATTATAACCGCGCTAATTTAATCATTAATGTAGAATGTCATTTTGGAAGAGAAATAAATCTCATTATATATTTCCAAAACTAATCACGCACGAGAAATGTCGCGAAAAACAAAATGTGCATTGAGTAATAGCAAAACGTAATCCGTCGCCATCATAGCTCAGTGGCAGAGCACTGGTCTGAAAACCAGGGCTCTTAGAGTTCGATCGCTTTTCCACGGGAAGCTTTACAAATACGTGATCAGTTATGAGTGAATCGAAAGACAAATGCGTGCTGTATATTTTTTATAGGTGCATGCGATCGCCTTCGATTAATCCGCGCTAATTAATTTCTAATAGAATGTCATTTTTGGAAGAGAAATGTGTCTCATTATATTACTTCAAACTAATCTACGAGAGAGAAATAAAGCGAAAGAAACAAAAATGTGTATTGAGTAATATACGCAACCGCCCACCATCATCATACTCGTGGCAGAGCACGTCTTGTAAACCAGGTGTCGTGAGTTCGATTCTCACTGGTGGCTTTACAAAATACGTGATAAAGCATGGAGTTGTTTTAATCGAAAGACGCGTGCGGTATATTTTTCTTTTTATAGTGTCGCGACCGCTCGATTATAATCAAGTGTTAATTTAATCCTTACTAGAATGTCATTTTGGAAGAGAAATGTGTTCCCTGCTGCAGGTATTTTCAAAGTAATCTACGAGAGAAATGTAGCGAAAGAAACAAAATGCATTATAATCCGTCGCCATCATAGCTCAGTGGCAGAGCACTGGTCTGCACGGTAAAACCAGTCGTGAGTTCGATCTTCACTGGTGGCTTTACAAAACTTGTAAAAGCATGGAGTTGTTTTTAATCGAAAGACGCGTGCTGTATATTTTTTCTTTTATGCGCCGCGTATCGCTCTCGATTATAATCCGCGTTAATTTAATCTTAATAGAATGTCATTTTTGGAAAAGAGAAATGTGTCTCATTATATATATATTTCAAACCACCTACGAGAGAAATTTCATGAAAAGAAAACAAAATTTGCATTGAGTAATACAGAACGCAATCCGTTGCTATCATATAGCTCAGTGGCAGAGCACTGGTCTGTAATCCGCACGGTTCGATCCTCACTTTTCAGTTTCAAAACTGAAAGCATTGTTGTTTTAATCGAAAGACGCGTGCTGTGTATATTTTTTCTTTTATAGTGCTTGCGATCGCTCATTAATTGGGCGTTAATTAATTTCTTAATAGAATGTCATTTTTGGAAGAGAAATGTGTCTCATTATATACTCAAAACTAACTCCACATGAGAGAAATAAAGCGAAAGAAACAAAAAATGTGCATTGAGTAGCGCAGAGCTGCAATCCGTCGCCATCATAGCCTTTCAGTGGCAGAGCACTGGTCTTGTGTAAAACAGGGGTCGTGAGTTCGATCCTCACCGGTATCTTTGCCAAAACTTTAAAAGCTACGGAGTTGTTTTTAATCGGCGACGCGTGCTGTATATTTTTCTTTTTATATGCTTGCGATCGCTCTCGATTATAATCCGCGTTAATTTAATCCCACAGAATGTGTCATTTTTGGAAGAAAAATGTGTCTCATTATATACTTCAAAACTCAATCTACGAGAGAAATGTCGCGAAAGAACAAAAAATGCATTGAGTAATATAGAACGTAATCCTCGCCATATCAGTCAGTGGCAGAGCACCTCGTGTCTTGTAAACCAGGGGTCGCGAGTTCGATCCTCACTGGTGGCTTTACAAATGCGTGATCGCTACGGTGGAGTCTTGTTTTTTAATCTGAAAGATGCGTGCTGTATATTTTTCTTTTATAGTGCTCTTGCGATCGCTCTCGATTATAATCCGCGTTAATTTAATCCTTAATAGAATGTCATTTTTGGAAGAGAAATGTGTCTCATTATATATTTCAAACTAATCTACGAGAAATAAATGCGAAAAACAAAAATGCACTGAGTAATATAAACGTAATTCGTCGCCATCATAGCTCAGTGGCAGAGCACTGGTCTTGTAAACCAGGGGTCGTGAGTTCGATCCTCACTCGGTGGCCGCATAAATACGCGATCAAGCATGGAGTTGTTTTTAACTCAAAAGACGCGTGTCATATATTTTTCTTTATAGCATGAGATCGCTCGATTAATCCGCGTTAATTACTCTAATAGAATGTCATTTTGAAGAGAAAGGTGTCTCACATATATTTCAAACTAATCTACGAGAGAAATGTCGCGAAAGAAACAAAAATGTGCGCATTAAGTAATATGAACGTAACTGTCGCCATTAAGGCTATTATTATAGCTCAGTGCGTTAGAGCACTGGTCTTGTAAACCAGGGTCGTGAGTTCGATCCTCACTGGTGGCTTTACAAATACGTGATCAAGCATGGAGTTGTTTTAATCGAAAGACGCGTGCTGTATATTTTTTCTTTATAGTGTTTGCGATCGCTGTTGATTATAAATCCGCGCTAATTTAATCCTTAAGCAAATGTCATTTTTGGAAGAGAAATGTGTCTCATTATATATTCCTGTAAAACTAATCATTAAGAGACGTAGCGAAAAGAAACAAAAATGTGTATTGAGTAATATATGAACGTAATCCGTCAGCATCATAGTCGGCAGAGCACTGGCCTTGTAAAACCAGGGGTCGTGAGTTCGATACTCTCTGGTGCCTTTACAAAACTTCTGGAAACAGCAGCGGAGTTGTTTTAATCGAAAGACGCGTGCTGTATATTTTTCTTTAATAGTGCGTATGATCGCTCGATCCGCGCGTTAATTTAATCCTTATTAGAATGTCATTTTTGAAGAGAAATGTGTCTCACATTATATATTTCCAAACTAATCTACGAGAGAGAAATGTAGTGAAAAGAAACAAAAATGTGCATTGAGTAATATGAACGTAATCTGGCGCTATCATAGTCATTCAGTGGTAGCATGCTCGGTCATGTAAACCAGGTGTCGCAGTTCAACTCTCACTGGTGCGGTTTTACAAAACTTGTAGTCCAGTTATTCCTTTAATCGAAAGACGCGTGCTGTATATTTTTCATTTTATAGTGCTTGCGATCGCTCGATTATAATCCGCGTTAATTTAATCCTTAATAGAATGTCATTTTAAGAAGAGAAATGTGTCTCATTATATATTTCAAACTAATCTACGAGAGAAATGTAGCGAAAGAAACAAAAATGTGCATTGAGTAATATGAACGTAATCCGTCACCATCATAGCTCAGTGGCAGAGCACTGGTCTTGTAAACCAGGCGTTAGGAGTTCGATACTCACTGGTGGCTTTACAAAATTTGGAAAAGCATGGAGTTGTTTTTAATCGAAAGACGCGTGCTGTTTATTTTTCATTTTATAGTGCTTGCGATCGCTCTCGATTATAATCCGCGTTAATTTAATCCTTTTCCATGAATGTCATTTTTGAGAGAAATGTCTCATTATATATTTCAAACCACCGCCAGAGAAATGTCGCGAAAACAAAAATGTGCATTGAGTAATATAAACGTAACTTCGTCGCCATTATCATAGCCAGTGCGGCAGAGCACTGGTCTTGTAAACCAGGGGTCGAGTTCAATCTCACTGGTGGCTTTACAAAGGCGTGATCACATGGAGTTGTTTAATCGAAAGCATTTTGTGCTGTATATTTTTCTGTGCATGCGATCGCTTCCTCGATTAATCCGCGTTAATTAATTTCTGAATAGAATGTCATTTTGAAGAGAAATGTCTCATTATATACTTCCTTCAACTAAATTCACGAGAGAAATAAAGCGAAAGAAACAAAAATGTGCATTGTTGAAAGCTAATATGAACGTAATCCGTCGCCACATCATAGCTTAGTGGCAGAGCACTGGTCTTGTAAACCAGGGGTCGACTTCGATCCTCACTGGTGGCTTTACAAAAAACTTGAAAAAGCACAGCTGCGAGTTGTTTTTTAATCGAAAGACGCGTGCCGTAAGTATTTCTTTCTTTATAGTGTCTATGATCGCTCTCGATTTATAATCCGCTAATTTAACTTCTTAATAGAATGTCACTTTTGAAGAGAAATGTGTCTCATTATATATTTCAAACCGCTACGAGAGAAATGTCGCGTGAAAGAAATAAAATGTGCATTGAGTAGCGAACGCAATCCGTCGCCATCATAGCTCAGTGCGGCAGAGCACTGGTCTTGTAAACCAGGGGTCGTGAGTTCGATCCTCCTGGTGACTTTATAAATGCGATCGGGCAGCATGGAATTGTTTTTAACCTGAAAGACGCGTGCTGTATATTTTTCTTTTTATAGTGCTTGCGACGCTCTCGATTATAATCCGCGTTAATTTAATCCTTAATAGAATGTCATTTTTGGAAGAGAAATGTGTCTCATTATATATATTTCAAACCACCCACGAGAGAAATGAAAGAAAACAAAAGCATTGAGTATATGAATGTAATCCGTCACTTTATAGCTCAGTGGCAGAGCACTGGTCTTGTAAACCAGGGGTCGTGAGTTCGACTCATTGGTGGCTTTATTAAAGTCCCTAAAAAGGCTGTTGTTTTGAAAGACGTGTGTTGTATATTTTTCTTTATAGTGCTTGCGATTGCTCTCGATTATGATCCACGTTAATTTAATCCTGAATAGAATGTCATTTCTGTTGGAAGAGAAATGTGTCTCATTATATATCATAAAACCAATCTACGAGAGAAAATGTTCTGGCAAAGAAACAAAAAGAGTAATATGCAAAACGTAATCCGTCACCATCATAGCTCAAAGTGGCAGAACACTTGCCTTAGAACCAGGGGTCGTCAATTGATACTCTTTGGTGGTTTTTACAAAACTTGAAAAAGCATGGTGCTGTTTTAATCGAAAGACGCAAAAGTTGTATATTTTTCTTTTATAGTGCTTTTCCGATCACTCGATTTCGCGTAGTCCTATGCTAATTTAATCTTTAATAGAATGTCATTTTTGAAGAGAAATGTGCCTAATATATATTTAAAAACTAATCTTACGAGAAATGTCGCGAAAGAAACAAAAATGTGCATTTTCGAGTAATATGAACGTAATCCGTCACTATCATAGCTCAGTGGCAGAGCACTGGCCATGTAAACCAGGGGTCGTGAGTTCGATTACTCTCTGTGGCTTTACAAAACTTGAAAAGCATGGACGTTTTAATCGAAAAGACGCGTGCGGTATATTTTTCTTTATAGTGCTTGCTATCGCCTTCGGCTACTATATAATCCGCGTTAATTTAATCCTTACAATGTTTTTGGAAGAAAATGCCCCAATATATATTTCAGACTCACCCACAGAGAAATAAAGCAAAAGAAACAAAAATGTGCATTGAGTAACATGAACGTAATCCGTCGCCATCATAGCGCAGTGATAGCCCTGCTGGTCTTGTAAACAAGGGGTCGCAGTTCGATCTCTCACTGGTATTTTACAAAACTTGAAAAAAGCATGGAGTTGTTTGAATCGAAAGCTCTGCTGTATATTTTTTCTTTTTATAGGCAAGCTTAAGTGATAAAGCCTGATTATAACTCAAGTACATCTTAATCCTTAATTGAATGTCATTTTGGAAGGGAAATGCGTCTCATTATATATTTCAAAACTAATCTACGAGAGAAATGTCGCGAAAGAAACAAAAAATGCATTGAGTAATATGAACGTAACTGTCTACATCATATTCAGTGTTAGGATAATTGTTTTTGTAGTAAACCAGGGGTCGAGTTCGATCCTCACTGGTGGCTTCTTATTGTACGTGATCGTGCATGGAGTTGTTTCTTTGCACGAAAGACGCGTGCTTTATATTTTCTTTTATAGTGCTTGGGTGGATCGCCTCTTCGATTATAATCCGCGTTAATTTATTTAATCCTTAATAGAATGTCATTTTTGAAGAGTCGTCTCAATATATTTCAAACTAAGCTACGAGAGAAATGTCGCGAAAGAAATGTACCGTGCATTGGCAATATGAACGCAATCCGTCGCCGTCATAGCTCAGCCAGTAAAGCACTGGTCTTGTAAACCAGGGTCGCGAGTTCGATCTCACTGGAAAGTTTTACAAAAAACTTCCTGAAAAAGCATGGAGTTGTTTTAATCGTTACGTGCTGTATATTTTTATAGGTGCTTACGACTGCCTCGATTATAACTGCGTTAAATTTAATCCTTAATAGAATGTCATTTTTGAAGAGAAATGTGTCTCATTATATATTTCAAACTAATCTACGAGAAATACCAAAGCGTAGGCAAACAAAATGTGCATTGAGTAATATGAACGTAGTCCGTCGCCATCATAGCTCAGTGGCAGAGCACTGGTCTTGTAAACCAGGGGTCGAGTTCGATCCTCACTCGCGTGGCCTTTACAAATATGTGATCAAGCTAATGTGGAGTTGTTTTAATCGAAAGACGCGTGCTGTATATTTTTCTTTTTATAGTGCTTGCGATCGCTCTCGATTATAATCCGCGTTAATGAATCCTTAATAGAATGTCATTTTTGAAAGAGAAAATGTGTCTCACATATATTTCAAACTAATCTGATGAGAGAAATGTCGCGCGAAAGAAACAAAATGTGTGCATTCAGTGCGCGAATGGAAATACCGCCGTCATAGACCAAAACAACGCATTGGTCTTGTAAACCAGGGTCGTGAGTTCGGGATCTTCATGCAGGTGGTTTTTAGAAATGTTTCTACCTAAGAATGAAGTGCTGCTCCCTAATCAAATGACGTGCTTTATACGTATTTTCTTTTTATGTGGTGCAGACGTCTGATCGTTCTCTATTAATCAGGATGTTTTCATTACGAGGGGAAATAAGTTTTTTCTTGGAAGAGAAAAGTGTCTCATTATTTTCAAACTAACCTACGAGAAATAAATGTCGCGAAAGAAGCCAAAAAATGTGCATTGAGTAAAATGAACGAAATCCGTCACCGTTATAGCTCATTGGCAATAACACTGATCTTGTAAATCAGGATTGTAGTTGATCCTCACTTGTGGCTTTACAAAATACTTGATCAAGAATGGAGTTGTTTTCAATCACCGAGAAAGACGCGTGCTGCATATTTTCTTTTTATAGTGCATTCCATCGCTCTTGAACTATCCGTGGTATCATCCGAGAGAAAACCTTTTTTCGAAGAGTGAAAGTGTGTCATTATATTTCAAACTAATCTACGATAAAAATGTCGCGAAAGAAGGTGAAATGTGCATTGAGTAATGCGGAACAAAACTGTCGCCATCATTAAGTTTAGTGGCAAAGCACTGGCATGTAAACACCAGGGTCGTGTGATTTTGATCCTCACTGGTGGCTTTGCGAATATTTGCCTGGCAAGTTTTGTTATTTCTTAATCAAAAGTATGCAGATTATTTTTCTTTTTAAGTGCATTCGATCGTTCTCGATTGATCCGGGATATTTTCATCCTGAAGATGAATGTCATTTTAGGAAAAGAAAGTGTCTTATTATTTCAAAGTAATCTACGAGAGAAATGTCGCGAAAGAGACAAAAATATGCATTGAGTAATGCGAATAAAAACCGTATCCATCGCGTTCTGTGAAGAGACTGGTCTTGTAAACAAGTGGTCGTGCGTTCTATCCTCACTGGTGGCGTTATGAATATTTGCTCGCTAACGTGTTGTTTCTAATTCGCTATCTACGCAGATTATTTTTCTTTAAATGCATTCAATACTTCTCGTTTGAACCGGATATTTTTTCCTGAAGAGGAATTTTATTTTTGGAAGAGAAAAGCGTCTACTAGCACCAGTGCATTTAGTAAATGAACGAAATACATCGCCACATGATTGGTTCAGTTGCTCTGCGCTGTTCTTATGTTCTGTAAACCAGGGTCGTGAGTTCGATCTTCATTAATTTGTGGCTCAGGGAATACTTGCTAGATTAAGTTGTTGCTTCAAATGAAAGATGCATGCTTCTTTCTTTTTATATTGCATTTGATGCATACAGGAGATTTGATCCTCAGAGAAATGCCATTTTTGAAGAGAAAATTGTCTCATTATTTTAACCAAGCATGAGATCAATGTCGTTGAAAAAACGAAAATGGGCATTGGAATAATATCAATGATATATATCCGTGTTCATCAAACCAGTTGCAGAGCACTGGTCTTGCAAACCAGCTGTCATGAGTTCCTATTCTCACTTTGTGCTTGCTAATATTTGCTACAGCAGTTGTTTTCAATGAAAGCGCACTCATGCCGCATATTCTCCTCTTTCTTTGTAGTACATTCTGGTGTTTCGGTTTATCCGGATATTTTGATTCCGAAGAGAAAGGCCCTTAGCAGGAAATGTCTTATTAGCGGCTTGTTAAACTATCATACGAGATCACCAGTAGAAACGAAAATTTTACCGGAAAGTAGTATGAATGAAATCCGTTACCGAGTCGCGGCAGAAGCACTTGTCTGTTGTCATGATCGCGGTGTCTGGATAATCACTGTTTGGGAATGCTTACTCAAGCAGGTGTTCTTTTCTAATTAAAAGAATGATGATACTTATTTTTCAGTTTTGGGGAACATTCGTATCATCTGGATGTATCAATATTTTGAAAACTGAAGAGTAAATGGCATTTTTTTTGTAAGAAATGTGTCTCCATTATTTCAGCCCATGCAATGAGAGCACTTGAAGAAACAAAAATGCATTGAGTAATATGAACATATTCGTTGCCTTCATTGCTTAGTGGCAGAGCACTGGTCTTAAGCCAGGTTCGCGAGTTTGATCCCACCTGGTTATGAATGATTACTCAAGAGAAACGTTCTTCTAAATAAAAAGTCGCATGTCTATTTTCGTTTATAGGCCTTGAACTCCTTAGAAAAGGTATTGAAGAGAAAAGGGAAACCTTTAACACAGGACTTGTAACGTCATTGGATCTTGTTTGGAGTGCATTAATACTGTAATCTGCAAACCAGTTGTTTATATATATATATAGCAGGCTAAAAACAATTTGTTGTAAGCAGTATATTTAAAAGACAGTTCTACATGTATTTTCTACCATTTTAGAATAGTCACACATTATATAAATAAATACAAAAACACAATTTTTCTTTTATCATTATTATAATATATCGTCGGCATAATTATCAGACTGCGTAATCCTTACTAGTAAAGCAGACACACCAGCAGGTAATAAACGCCGCTATGCTCCAGCCAACGCCCTTCGCCCGAGAAGAAGCTTCCTACTGGTTACAGTAGACGCTAACACCGTTTACGCGAGTCTGCCTTGGTGTGAATGAGCCTTTACTGATTTGATGGGGTGCAAGGCCCCAAGCGCTTTGGTACGATTCTTAATCTTTTTGCTTGTGTACGCATGCCTCAGCTCTGGGCACCGGTTTTTACTTATTCCTCGATCAGTGTAATCACTACTTTTTATTTCATAATAAAAACTAGATTCTTTTGAAGAGAGGTGGTGACAAGATTTAACATAAAATAAATATAACAGAAAATAATATTAATATATTACACTTCCATAGATATATAAATTGAAAGTACACTATTTTAAAGCTCCATACATGGTACCGTAACAATGTGTTACTTTTAATAGCAGTAAAACCAGCGTGAAAAAAAACAGAAACAAAAAACTAACATTAATATACGTTATCTCCATACAAACCGCTAATACGCACGATAAAAATATCAAGTAAACCAGTATTGCAATATTATTGCCTATCTTTGGGTTAAAACATAAACAACAACTTAAGCTAGCCCTACTGCATCAAAATTAGCATGCCAGATGGAGTTACGCAGTCTGATAGTTGTAATCTGATGATATTATATATATTCATAAGAATTGCTGAAATGTAATATTACGACCAGCCAAAAGTTAAAATGATTTTTGTACTCAATAATCATACGGATTTTATGTACTGTGTGTAGAAAAATCTTGCATAAGCCTTTTGATTCAAAAAAAGTTATATGGGGTTCGTTTTAGTATGAAAATCCACTAACCCAACGATGTTCTTTCTCGGTTTGGGCAATCTTTTTCTAAGTCGCCTTGGTGAGATATCGAATTCAGCCCTGAAATAAATAGTAACTGAAGTACCTTGGCGACTGGTTTTAGTCAGCCGTGCAGCGGAACTGCGCCAAGGTGCCCCCCATACTACACTTTAACCGTTATAAGGATTAATAAATTTTAAAAATCGCAAATAATCAAAAATATATGAATATAATAAATTTTTTACTCTTTTATTTTTGTTACAAATATAGTTTTAAATCTGGGTCATTTATTTTTCCAGTTTCATAATGTTTTTTTAAAAAATTTAATCTTAATTTTTATTTTATAAACATACCATATTATAATGAATGTATAATAAATAAATGAATAATGAAAATATACTTACATCTTAAAATTCATATAAATATTGAAAAACAGCTGAAATTGTTCAAAAGTGAAAGTTCTTAATAATAAACGCACAATATTTAGACGATTATTAGATCTACAGGTACGATACTGAAACAGTTATTCTCAAGAAAGCATATCGTGAAAATATAATTTATTGCACTTTTTTATTGTAATTATTTTGCAAGCAGCTAATAAATTTATATAAATAATGTGCATTGAGTAAATATGAGCGCAATCCGTCACCATCATAGCTCAGTGGCAGAGCACTGGTCTTAAACCAGGTGCCGTGAGTTCGATCCTCACTGGTGGCTTGTACAAATACGTGATCAAGTATGGAGTTGTTTTAATCGAAAGACGCGTGCGGTATATTTTTCTTTTTATAGTGCTTGCGATCGCTCTCGATTATAACTGCGTTACTGTAACTCCTAATAGAATGCTCATTTTTGCAAGAGAAATGTGTCTCTACATATATTTCAAACTAATCTACGAGAAATGCGAAAGAAACAAAATGTGTATTGGCAATATGAACGCAATCCGTCGCCATTATAGCTCGTAAGTGTTAGAGCACTGGTCTTGTAAAACCAGCGGTCGTGAGTTCGATCCTCACTGGTGGTTTTTGGCCAAATACGTGATCAAGCATGAGTTGTTTTTAATCGAAAGACGCGTGCGGTATATTTTTAGCGTAAGTGTTTAAGGATCGCTCCCGATTATAATCCGCGCTAAT